GATCACAAGCATTTCCTAATTTCACTTCAGAATTTTTTGTTATATTTAATCTTTTGTTATATTTTTTATACTGTTATCATTTGTAAAGTATATATATATATTTACTTTCCTTTACCTTTACCAAATTTACCTGTATATACTTTGTTTTCATATTTGGCAACTTTTTGTGAAAATTTGAGATTTTTGAGGGTGGTTCTAGAGATTTTCTGAGGGAGGGGTTTGGCAACACTGGTGACATTGTTTCAACCATAGTGATTGGTAGGGTTGGGTATCGAGAACCGGTTCCATTTTAGAACCGGTTCCAAATGTCCAATAATCGGGTATTCGATACGACGTGTTCATTTCGATTCCGCTTAATGATTCGCGCGTTCGCATTTTAATGTGATTTTAAACTATTTAAGTGCAGGAAGGGAAAGAACTTGCACACTGTTTGCGTGCAGCGCACACATCTGAAGCGCGAGCACAGAGAACAGTGGTCCCGATGCAGGTTCCCGACCTGTGTCCGTTCTCGAACTGTTCCGTGCATTTCCACAAAGGTTGTTCCGGGCCAGAACTGACTTCTCTTTCACATTTATCGACCAGTATGCACGAAATACGTCAGTATATCATCATAAACACAGCTGTTTTTTTGTCTAAAGTGAACATAAACAGATGAGAAAGAAAACGCATGTGTAACAGTATTTTTAGATCTGTGTGTGTTCGGTGTTAAAGAGACAGCCGTCTAATAAACATGCTGCCTATCATTAATGTTAGTCAAAGAACAAAAGAAAATCATTAACTGACTGAATATCTATACTGTATCTATACTACACTGTAAAACTATACAGTGTTTTTAAACTTTTGATTTCAATTTCTGTACCTGACATTTGTTCAGTTTTATTTATTTATGCTATTGCTAATTAATTTGTTTACTTGTCTTTAACAATTTAATGTTAATGTAAATTTATATTAGTCTAGTTGTTTTTTTTCTGTGGTATTTTTTTGATAAAACCATAGACATAAAACAGAATAAATATGTTTGACATCTAAATATTTGACTTAAAATTTGTTTAATGGATTTTTTTATCTTATTGAAATCGGAATTAGGAATCGATAAGCAGAATCGGAACCGGAATCGGAATCGATAAAATTCAAACGATACCCAACCCTAGCGATTACTCAAGTTTATTGAGCAGTGATTTAAGTGCTATCCACCACGATGTGTTTAATATGCTAAAGTGCTCTAATGCTCTTTATTTAGGCATCGCAAATGGACTCAAGAGACACAGCGGCAACTCATCAGATTCAGAAAGCTGCACTCCCACCTTCCCAGTGCACAGGTAATGGATGCTGTCGGCGTGCTTTGAATGCTGTCACTAGGGTCCCAGTTTAGATTCGATGTTAACGTCTGTCTGCAGTGATCTGATCCGCCTTGACAGAGCACTGATTACATTAACATTGAGGGTTTTTTATTTCAAATATATGTTGTTCTTTCGAACCCTGAATCCTGAAAAAATGTATCACAGTTTTCCCAAAAAAAACTTCAATATTGCTAATATTGAGAAATGTTTCTTGAGCAGAAAATCAACATATTAGAATGATTTCTGAAGGATCGAGTGACACTGACGACTGGAGTAATGGATGCTAAAAATTCAGCTTTGTAGAACAAGAATAAATTACATTTTAAACTATATATTAAAATAGAAGACAGTTATTTCACAATATTACTGTTTAACTTTTCAACACTAGTGTACATTAAAAGTAAAGAAATCACTGCACAGCAAAATATTATTTTTCCCCTATCATTTGAAATGTAGTCTCATTACAAACATGCTGTTTCAATTGCCATAATATTTTGCACCAATTTACCTGAAAGTGATAAGTTTTGTTCTTTTTAACACAACACTTGAAATTAAGCGTGATGTTTTACAAACATTAATGGCCTAAAAATCAAAAAAATAATTTCTACATTTAATTTGTACTTTAGAAATACTTTAAATAGATTCTTATATATGTTTATGCTCATGATTGTTTGCTGAATATAACGTGTATCCACCTTAAATAAGTGCACATTTTATATTAGAATTTTTTTTAGTCCAGGATTTTTATGCAGCAATCCAAAATTCACACAAGTTTGTGTATGGAAACCAGTTATATGACTGTTTTTTACACCTGTAATTAGCACTGCCCTCTTGAGATTGGATCACCTGACACCTGATGTTAAAACCAGGTGTTCAAGGTGTGCCTGTTACAAGAGCTTTGCATTTTAAAAACGTATGTCTTCTAATGTTTTCTGCAGTTCCTCACCTCCAAAACGAAGTCGTGGTAAACCAGCTCTCAGCAAAGTTCCTGTTGGTGAGGAGGACAATGGAGTTTCTAATGCAAGTGAGTACAACAAATACCTTTAAACTATATCGCTCTTCTTTCATTCATTTTGCTCAGCTATCATTGTCTTTACTTCTGTAGGCAAAGAAACTTCTCAGGATGATGAGATGGAACCTCTTACCTTGGTTTGGGCAAAATGTCGTGGATACCCCTCATACCCTGCAATGGTAAGGGTCACATGGTGTTGAATATATACATGAGATACTTGAATATATGTATATCCAGCCTATCCTAGCCTAAAGTAATGATGCTTTTCAACAGGTTGTCAATCCTAATATGCCCCGGGAAGGAATTCTTCACAACGGCATTCCCATCCCAGTGCCTCCAGCAGATGTTTTGGATCTGGGTAAACAAAGACAGGAGGAGACCGAGGAGAAGCTCTTTCTTGTGCTGTTTTTTGATACAAAACGAACCTGGTAAGGAGAAACATACTCTTCATGAAACATATTTCAAAGTCTGTTATAGGTGTACTAAAGTCACTGTTTTATTATTAATTGACAATCAGGCAGTGGCTGCCGTTGGACAAGCTCCATCACATGGGCATTGACGACACTGTAGACAGGCTGCGTCTGATGGAGGGCAAGAAACCGAATGTGCGGAAGTCAGTACACATGGCATATGACAGGGCGATGACACACCTGAGCCACGTGAAGGAAAACTCAACCTTTAACCCCTCAAATTTTATATAAAAGACTTATATTAAATGTTTGTCTAAACTGACTGTATGATACCAATGAAGGTACGTTCATAACATTCAGATGTTTATTGGTTTTTATACCAGTGACAGGCAGATTCATAAGCTCTTTTTTTAATTTAATGTTTTCCTACCCTCCATAACTCAAGGCACATCATAAATCAAACCTGGTTAACTTTTAACATTCTCATTCAACCAAGAGCTTAAGAATGTGTTAAATTCACTTATTGTAATTGCACTTATTTCTGTATGTTGAAATGTTTTGTCCATTTTTGGCCGTTTTCTTGAATGTGAGGTGATAGTATCACTTATGTTGCCAATGCACCAGAGTATTTGGGCAGTACAATTCAGGAACTTTGTGCTAGAATGCATTTTGTAACTGTTTACTTGGATACCTGGACTTAGGATGTGCACAAAAAAGTTCTCTTGCCCTTAGAGCTGCTGGTTAATCATTCTAGCGTGGTCATATATGCTTTTCGTCTTTATCAGATTCCAACTTCTGAGCGTCTGGTGTTTTACTACCATGGCGGTTTTAACCTACTGTGAGGTGCCACTAAATGAAAATATTTCTTTGGCACTGCTTACACGAGCATCTATTTTGTGTCTTTTTTAAGTTAACATGTGCCCTTTATTTTAAAGAAAGGCTGTGTTTGTTAAAAAGCTTGTAATTGTGGGTGGCGATCACTGTAAATATAAATGCATGTATGTAGAAAATATGCACAGATGTGTTTTTAAAATCTGAAATGTAAATTAACGACAAACTTTGTACATGTCATTTTAATTTATTTGGAGTGGTTATGGAAAAGTTATTTAATAGCTATTGAGAAGGTTTAATTTAACAGCTCTGTAGAGCTTTATATTGTTCAGAAGGCATTACTGCTTTAATGCAATTGTTCATTAGTGGTCTACAGTGAGAGAACATTATAGAGTAAAATACTATGTAGTCTCTTAGATCATGTATGCAGAGTAAAAGAGAAATGTGTTTTTTAAAGCCTGTGAAAAAGCTAATAGTACCAAACAAAAAATGTCTGAAACGGTATTTTCTCAAACGAGAAATAAAAACACTGTTGAGCTTACGTTATCCTGTCATCTGTTTACAAGTTGAACTTGAGCAATACGTCTTGATCATGCACTTAAGACTAAATTTAGCGTTCACGTCAGTAAATGAGATTTCAAAATACATGTACTTTGAGCAACCTCAGATTTATTACAGCACCAATATATTATTCCTCTTGAATACAAATGTTTTTCCAGAAAAAAACAAAATCCACATATGTAGTTTTCCAAATATCATACATTGAGGATTTTCCTGTTATGCCCAGTGGTTTAAAACAAACATATTTTGGAGGTCTTGATCTTGACAGCATCATGCCAGAGGAATAAATGTCACGATTCATGACTGGCATGTCAAACAGGAAGCAAACAAATATATACAACAGTAAACCACACATGCTGTGCAGTAACCTAACGGAGACAGAAATGAAAGTACATTAATCCCATAGTAAAGACAGAATTTTATGATCTGGTGATATGTTACATCATGATATTTTCTTTCATTAAAATGGAGCAAGGTTTGGTCTGTTCAGTTTCAAGTAGAAAACCATATAAGACAAAAAGGCAAAGAAAACCTCTAAAAGAATACATCACAAGAAAGAACAAAGGTGCAATGTGACAATGCACAGCTCAAGCAGCCATGCTAAATTAGAGACTTTGTCAGAAAGTGGTTTAGACCATGATGAACAGCTCATCACTGGGAAACCAGATTTGATCTGTTAATTTAATAGCATCTAATCTATATGCAATTCAATTTTACTATAAAGTAAAACAATTCAGTTATAGCTTCAATAATTGTTCACTGCCACCAGTTGAGAAGGAAAAAATCCACATTTTATTGGGCCTTTGCTATGAAAAGCTCAAAATGTTCTGGAATAAAAGGATCACAAAATGTGATTTGTTTTTCTTCCACATAAAATCAGATCCAGTCCAAGATGCGTCTGTCAAATTGTCAAAGACAAAAAAACAAAAGCAGCAGTTTTACATAACTTATTAACCCACGGTAGATTAGGATCTTTTGGTTGAATCATCTCCGTTGTTTTACTAAACTGAGTTAAGTGTGAATGCAGAGATGCACGTCCTGCTATTTTAGTGGTCAGAACGCAGTGGGTCAGGTCTGGTCAGTGTGCATCTGAAACCAAAGCAAACGGTCAGCAGATGAAGGCAATCTTGTAAACGACCAAGAAATCATACATCTGATTCAATTGGACTCTTACCTCCTTTAGAGCTCTTACTGGGGTTAGGGGTGGTGGAGTATTTTGGAGGGTATCGGATAAACAGACGGTCTTCCTCCTTCTTGATCCAGCGCAGCAGTTTAGTGATGGCATTGATGCCACAGGTTTTTGTGACAAGGGGACTGAAGCACGTATACAACTCGAATTTGCTTGTGACCTGGAATGAGAAAAATTAAAGTTCAGCCAAAATTTGCTAAAAAAAAGGTCCTCCCATTCAGGTCATCCAAGATATAGATTTGGAGAAATTTAGATGCTCTGCAGTGAATGGGTGCCGTCAGAATGAGAGTCTAAACAGCTGATCAAAACATCACAATAATCCACAAGTAATCCAAACAGTGCTTGATCTTTGACCAACAGTTTGAAGCTAAAAACATCTCAATGATGGTTAACAAACCTGTATCTTTTCAATTCACAATACATTAATTGATGGACTAGAGACTACTTGTGGATTATTGTGGTTTTTATCAGCTGTTTGGACTGTTTTCACTGCAGAGGATTCATTGGTGAGGAAGTGCTGTAATGCTAAATGAAGAAACAAACTCATCTACATTTTGGATGGCCTGAAGGTGAGTACGTTTTCAGGAAATTTTCATTTTTGGGTGAACTGTTCCTTTAAATTGCTTTGGGCAACACGTAATTAACCTGAGACTATTACAAAGCAACTCCATTTGGAGCAAGGTCAGGATCCTCATTTGCATAATCTGCATTTGCAAATTTTGAGTGCTGCTCAGAGGCCTTGAATGTAACTCGATCTTTCAAGGTCCGCGCGGAGAGCGTGTGAAAGTGCCAGGTGAGATAGAAAGCATGTTTTGCTCTCGGAGGACTGGGGACAGATGCGCGTGACAGCAGTTATCATTCACATACCCAGGCCAGCAGAGTCTCACGTTCGGCCACGTGGTAGATGAGCTTGAGGGGGCGTGAGGTGCTGTGGATTCGGCCGTGCATGTCTCTGTACAGGTCCAGGAGTCTCATCTGCTCCTCCTCACTGCTGTACGGCGCTTCCATCTCTGGGCTGCGGCAAACCCATGAGACACAGAGGAAAACAAAGGTGGCTTTGTGCTTCAGATCTCAATATTTTCTGAAATGTTATTAGTGGTACATTACATTGTACCGCACATCTCATGACACACATAGTGCTTTCAATAAAAGCCACTGCCGTCTATTGGCATCAAACAATAGGATGAATTAAGAAAACATGCTTTCAATTCCTCTGTGAAATTCATTCAGGAAATATGTGTGAGCATGATCATGAGCTCAGATCTACAGCTCACAGATACAGTTCAAAAGTTACTTGTGGAGATGCTGAGGAAAAATTGGATGTCATGAAGCCAGCAAACAAAGACTTTAACTAAATACATTTAAAAGGTTGCCAAATAAAACATTGGCAGTGATTTTAGCACTGTTTACATACTATTATATTATTTACAAATATCTTAAATTGGCGTATTTTCAGTTTTACTTTAATTTATTTTTCATATTTATTATTTTTACATTTTTACTATTAAGCCTTACTTTATTTTTAATTCACTTTTAGTTATTTAGTTATTTTAATACTTAAACATTTTATTTCAGTTAGTTGTCAAGGCAACATTTCTTTCAAATTTTCTAGTTTTTCATCTAATATTTCTATTTATTTAATCTTATTTTGGTTAATAGTTTTTAATAGTTTTAGCTAACCATCACAATACCGCATCACAGCACATACATTATATTTATTTAATAACAAAAGTGTTCACAACAAACAGGGTTAAAAATATGGGTTAATCTCATAAAAACATGTCCAGGTCACATTTTATAAAAAAATTAAAAGGGGGGGGGGTGACTTTTTACCATGTAGCATTATTTTAATGACGAGTTAGCACTTTTTTTTTATTATTATTTATGTTGACAAAATATTATAGAATTTTTATATCTGCATTTTTCAGTTATCAGCCATAACATGAAAATAATTATCAGCTTATTATTATTGGCTAGAATTTTAATACTGGTGCATCCCTGTTTTTTTTTTTCTTCTTTATATACAGTAAATACACAAAAAAAATAATTGCAGTCACAAAAACTTTTAACCTAAATCAGCCAAAATGTAAAGGGGTCATATGATGCGATTTAAATTTTTCCTTTCTCTTTGGAGTGTTACAAGCTCTTGGTGCATAAAGAAGATCTGTAAAGTTGCAAAGACTAAAGTCTCAAATCCAAAGAGATATTCTTTATAAAAGTTAAGAGTCAACCACACCTACCTAAAACGGCTCTTTCTAACACGCCCCCACATATCTACGTCACTATCTGGGAAGATTTGTATAACACCGCCCAAATGTTCACGCAAAGAAAGAAGGCGTAACTTTTATTCTCGCTGTAGTTCTGTTGTTGCCGCCGCCATGTATTGAAGGCGCTGTGTGTTTCGTTGTGAAAGCGAAACTACTTTGTTTGGTCTTCCAAAAGAGGACGATATCCGCTTCGTCATGCCTAGAGCCTAGAGCTGATCCGTGCTGGTTGCTGAGGAAATAC